AGGGTAAAGGTACTGTTATTTCACCCTTTTGAATTTCGTTGAGGTTGTGTTCCCACATCGTTAGCTAGTTTGGATCGCTATAACTTGAATCACTGTCAACTGTTGAATGAACGAGTGTCAAGCAAGTCGCGCTTTGTTTACTTCCAACCGGAAGTCGCGCCCACTTTTGACGCAAGGCCTCATGGAGCGTAGGAAACTTGTGGATAGGCGGAAAGGAAAATGTTTGGCCCGCGCTCATTTCCAGGTTGTCATGGTAACATCAGTGTAAGCAAAAATTCCAACGCAGTATCTAGGCATTCGCGCGCAACGGAAATATGGCAAGTGCGAAGAAAAGAAAAGTGGACACAGAAAACAGATGATTCAAATCTGAATGGACTGAACAATTTTGTTTTATTTTGCCTGACCACCACAACGCAAAGCCAACGTGTTTGCTATGCACGCAGACCGTGGCTGTCTGTAAGTCTGACAATATCAAACGCCATTTTAACATTTCTTGAATAAAACAGACTCGTTTGAAAAAGAAAATAATACATAAAAATAAATAAAAATAGAATAATTGGGCTATGTGGTGATTTGTGACTCTTTTTAACAAAACAACAACAACAAAAATAGCAGAGCAAACTTTGAGGTCATTTGGTGGCCCTTGGCTCTGTATTGTCAGCAGAATTTGGCCCTTGGTAAAAATTAATTGAGGAACCCTGGTGTACAGTGTGCCAGTTCTGGTCACATACTGCATGTGGTTTTAAAAGCAACATGTGTGCCAACACCGTCAGTGCTGAAACACCTAAAATAAATGTCTTTGTTGTTTCATTTAAAATGTTTTTTTGCATGCTTTTTGTAATCATTACACAGCATGAATTAAAGTTTCGCATTATTAAGAAGCATGATTTTGTATGTTTGTATACATGTGAACGGGGTAGGGGTGGGATATTTTTGTTTTAGGGCGTGCTGTTTATGTTCAGATGTGTTTGCTCTGTGCCGTGCGTGATTGTTAAACTGTTAAAAAAATAAAATTAAGATATTGTTGGAAAAAAGAAGCATGGTTTACGGTGAATTGGGGAGTTATTTGAGTTCATGTGATGCACACTTACAGAATGTTTATTTTTTATTCTGAGAAATTCCTGGAACATAAATGTTCTCAATCTCCACCACCACAATAACGATTTTTATTCACAGATATGATGGATATTAATGGTATAAATCATAATACATATGAATAGATACATGTCTACCCCTCAAATGTTTGGGATCACTTTCCCATTAAATCCAATGGGAAAGCGATCCCAAACTTTTGAGCTGTAGTGCATGTATGGATATATGCCTACATTCCTTATTTACTGAGACTACCGTTACTTCAAATCCCCAATGAGATTAATAAATCAGACTATTGAATAGGAAAGCTGCGTTACAGTTATAAAGATAGCTGGACTTCTGGGTTTGCTTAGTTTTTTTAAGGTTTATGTGGCAGCGGATAGCCTATTTAACATGACCTTACATGAATAAAGCCACATATATTTATTTATTTTAAATATGTAATATCATCCAATTAAATTCTGTACTATAATGCTATGCGTTTGGCTTGATGAGGACAAAGATGGTCAACCTCTGCCAAAAAGATGTAGAGCTGGGGAGAGACGAAAACGAAATTCAGCTAACGTTACTGGTTGTTGTTGTTGTTTTTTCATCAGTAGTTGCATTCATTATTCATTGAGCAAGTTCTAAATGGATATTCATATTTTTACAGTTTCTTCAGCAAGCGTTACACCCTCCTGTGCTCCATCTACCAGCACAACTGAAGACACTGTTACCATCGAAAATTTTGTTTTTTTCCCTTTATACTTGTTTCCTCATTTGTTATGTGGTAATTGCCCAGATTTACCATTGCCTTCTTCCCTTTTAATTTTCAGACTCCCTCATTCAAGATGTCTGAGACCTCTTGGGAAGTGCTGAACAACCTCTCCCCTGACATTGGAGGGACAGGCAAACTTCCTCTCTGGAGAATTGGACAGTAGTAAGGCCCTTCATGGTGAACAATATGTTGTCATCTGAGAAGCCAAAGGAGGGGGTTTGCCATCATTGTGGACACAAGGCTGCAGTAGTGATGTATAGAGACTGTTTACCGCGATCACTCTACTGCACAGCCTGTGACCTTTCCACACATGAGGCCCTGGTGCTTCATAACAGAGCATCAATGGTGGAGGGGTTCTTCAGACACCTGCCGCCATCCACTTTTGTTCAGCAGGATGAAGGAGGGAAATTCTCCTAATATGAAAAAGGTATTTTTTAAGTCCCAGGTCCCATTAATTATCTAATCAACCAATCACATGGCAGTTGCTTCAATGCATTTAAGGGTGTGATCCTGGTCAAGACAATCTCCTGAACTCCAAACTGAATGTCAGAATGGGAAAGAAAGGTGATTTAAAGAGTTAGTTCACCCAAAAATGAAAATAAAGTCATTAATTACTCACCCCCATGCTGTACCAACTCCGTAAGACCTTCGTTCATCTTCGGAACACAAATTAAGATATTTTTTATTAAATTTGAGAGCTGGATCCCTCCTCCATAGACTGCCTAAGGGACTGGCTCTTGACGGCCCATAAAGTCATTAAAGAAAATGTTAAAATATTCCATGTGCCTACAGTGGCTCAATTATAAGTTTATCAAGCGACGAGACTACTTTTTGTGCGAAAAAAACATAAATAACGACTTTATTCGACTATTCCATTACTTCCTTATGGGCGCATGCGCGAGAACTGAGATGACGACGTTCTTCTTCGACTACTTCTTGTTACTGGCTGCTCCGCTTAGGAGTTTTACCGCCACCTACCGTATAAGATGATGATCCATATAGAAGCTCCGGATTATAAGGCACACTGTCGTTTTTTGAGAAGATTAAAGGCTTTTAAGAGCACCTTATAGTGCGGAAAATACGGTAATTGAAAAGCGTATGTACAGGGCAGATCTTCGTCCGCTTTCAAACAGAAAGTTTTGCGCTTCCAGCTATATCAGCACATCATCTTATACGTAGGTGTCGGTAAAACTCCTAAGCGGTGAGCAGCCGGTAACAAGAAGTAGTCGAAGAAGAACGTCGTCATTTTAGTTCTCGCGCATGCGCCCATAAGGAAGTAATAGAATAGTCGAATAAAGTCGTTATTTATGTTTTTTTTCGCACAAAATTATTCTCGTCGTTTGATAAACTTATAATTGAGCCGCTGTAGGCACATGGAATATTTTAACATTTTCTTTAATGACTTTATGGGCCGTCAAGAGCCAGTCCCTTAGGCAGTCTATGAAGAAGTGATCCAGCTCTCAGATTAAAAATATCTTCATTTGTGTTCCCGAAGATGAACGAAGGTCTTACGGGGTTGGTACAGCATGGGGGTGAGTAATTAATGACTTAATTTTAATTTTTGGGTGAACTAACCCTTTAAGCAATTTTGAGCGTGGCATGGTTGTTGGCGCCAGACGGGCCCATCTGAATATTTCACAATCGGCTCAGTTACTGGGATTTTCACGCACAACCATTTCTAGGGTTTACAAAGAATGGTGTGAAAACGGAAAAACATCCAGTATGTGGCAGTTCTGTGGGCAAAAATGCCTTGTTGATGCTAGAGGTCAGAGGAGAATGGGCCGACTGATTCAAGCTGATAAAAGAGCAACTTTGACTGAAATAACCACTCGTTACAACCGAGGTATGCAGTAAAGCATTTGTGAAGCCACAATACGCACAACCTTAAGGCGGATGGGCAACAACAGCAGAAGACCCCACCAGGTACCACTCATCTCCACTACAGGTAGGAAAAAGAGGCGACAATTCGCACAAGCTCACTAAAGTTGGACAGTTGAAGACTGGAAAAATGTTGTCTGGTCTGATGAGTCTCGATTTTTGTTGAGACATTCAGATGGTAGAGTCACAATTTGGCGTAAACAGAATGAGAACATGGATCCATCATGCCTTGTTACCACTGTGCAGGCTGGTGGTGGTGTGGGGGATGTTTTCTTGGCACACTTTAGGCCCCTTAGTGCCAATTGGGCATCGTTTAAATGCCACGGCCTACCTGAGCATTGTTTCTGACCATGTCCATCCCTTTATGGCCACCATGTACCCATCCTCTGATGGCTACTTCCAGCAGGATAATGCACAATGTCACAAAGCTCAAATCATTTCAAATTAGTTTCTTGAACATGACAATGAGTTCACTGTACTATAATGGCCCCCACAGTCACCAGATCTCAATCCAATAGACTGGTGGAACGGGAGCTTTGTGCGCTAGATGTGAATCCCACAAATCCCCATCAACTGCAAAATGCTATCAACATTTCTAAAGAATGCTCTCAGCACCTTGTTGAATCAATGCCACGTAGAATTAACATAAGTGTAGTGTGTAAAACGTGTGTTAGAGTAATAACGCAGTTCATGGATTCTCGTTCTTGGAAGGTGCCACCGGTTACTCGACATGGGTAAATTGCAATCGAGGATTTTTTCGACTTTAATCGAGGAATCATTAAATCCCTAGATCACAGTGAATGAATGCAGAGAACTCTATCAGTGCATGTGCTGAGTTTAGCATTTGCATTGTTGACGATTACAGCATTTCACTAGATTTGTAATGAGACGCATTTGTAAACTTGTTTTCTGCTAAAATAAATGCTTGACTGCAGTTTCCGTCAAAATAAAAGCTCACTGGTTTATCTCTTGCATTTAGAAATTAAGGCAAAATGAATTATGAAAGTTTCTTTATTTTTGCTGTGCATTTGTTTTACAATATATGAAGAGTTCAGATGCAAAAGCCTCTAAATGCCATTTGAAATTTTCTTCTTTAATGGTGATTTTTATCAAACTTGTATATTTAAGTTCAGTAATTTCACTTAAATAACAATTAATAGGTAATTATCATTGCCATTTAAGTGAAATTACTAAACTTAAATATACAAGTTTGATAAAAATCATCATTAAAGAAGAAAATTTCAAATGGCATTTAGAGGCTTTTGCATCTGAACTCTTCATATGATTATTACTGTCATATAAATAATATTATATTATTAGTAGTATTATGTAGTGTAATGTAGACTGAGACACTATATCACGAGTTACTATATCAACTAAGGTTTGTGTCCCCTTTAAAGTTCAGGTACAAGTCAAGATGCACACTGATTTATAGGTTGGAGCTCTTAATACCGTACTCCCACCGTACTCTTCCTTTGAGGCCTAGGTCCATTCATCAGAGTTTCGCTAAATCCTGTGAGAAACGCTGTTAAATGTTCATTTTGTTTTCGATCATGATTGTAATGCATGGATAGAAAACATTTCTAAAACATTAGAATTGCAAAGGCCATCTTCTGATGATCATATTAGGCAAGTAATAGCTCACGGCTGGCTATGTGTGCAACCGTGCTTGAAATTATTATTATTAGACAACTGTTCAACAAAGACAGAAAACTAATAGAGAGAGACAGATAATGGGTGATCCTAGGGTTCTCAGTGATGTCAAAATAAAAGTCCAGCTTCAAGTGACCAAACTGAAAAATTATTGGCCAATGCAAAAATAAAAAAATTGAGCCACATTTTGGCCAGTTGATGGAAACGGAAACAATGGAAGCATTCTCAATGAATTGTTACAGGCGTATTCCTGAGGGTGAACTCAGGTTTTCAACTTTGGGCAAGCATTTTTTAAATGTTTCCCTAGATTTCCATATCGGCTGAAAGTCTTCCCACATGAAGGGCAGAGGTACGGCTTCTCTCCAGTGTGCACTCGCTCGTGCACTTTCAATGCTCCCGAAACTGTGAAACTCTTTTCACAGTGTGAACACTTGTACGGTTTTTCTCCAGTATGGATCCGTTCATGCACTTTCAGTTCACCGGCTCTAATAAAAGTACTTCCACAGTCCAAGCACTCGTAGGGTTTCTCACCAATATGTGTTTTCTGATGGTCTTTAAACCCGTTAAGCCACAGAAAACTCTTCCCACAAAAAGAACACACGTAACGCTTTTCTTCTTCGTGAATCCTCATGTGTGTCTTTAAGTGAACGGCCAAAAAAAACTTCTTATCACAGCGCTCACAGCTAAATGGTCTTTCTCCAGTGTGAGACAGTAAGTGAGTTTTGAGATTGCAGGCCTCTGAAAATCTCCTGCCACACTCAGAGCACTGGTGTAATTTCTCTCCAGAATGAACCTTCATGTGCCTTTTTAAGCTGTTTTGATGTGTGAAACTCTTCCCACACAACATGCATGCGAAAGGCTTCTCTCCTGTGTGAATTTTGGTGTGTTCCTTCAGACCTTCCTTTTGCGTGAAACTCTTTCCGCACTGAGGGCAGGAGAAAGGCTTTTCACCGGAGTGAATTCGCAAGTGCCTCTTAAGGTCTCCTGAATTTGCAAAACACTTTTCGCACTGAGAGCATGTGAACGGCTTCTCTCCAGTGTGAATCCGTATGTGCCTCCGAAGGTCTCGTTTACATGTGAAACTCTTTTCACATTGTGGGCAGGTGAAGCAGCTTTTCAGTTCTGTTCTTTCTGGTGAAGGATCATTTTCAGATTGGGAGCAATTCAAAGATTTTTCTCCAATTATGAAATTAGGTTTTGGAACCTGCTTTTTTCCCTCCACTTCATTCTGTTCTTCACTTTCCTCTTTACCTTCCACGGGGTCTAAAACGAATACATTAAATAGTTAAAAATCAATTGAACTGACTGTTAGAGATCAAGTGTTTATTTTAATTGATGTTTCATTTGCTTTAAGTTATTTATGCCATTTGCATGGTAATGGCATTAGATGTGGTTGAAAACTAACTTGGTGACCATGAAAACTTGGTTGTTCTCCTTACTTTATTTGTTAGTTATGAAAGAAGAATGAAGGAAAAAATAAAGAATGATCACCAACCGCTTTGTTCCTCTCCATCTTCGTCTTTTATTCTGCTTGCTTCTGCATCACTCAAGTCTTCACTATCATCTTTAACAAACTCCATCTTTACAAGAGTATACCAAGTGTTTATCTTCCCATTCGCAAACAAATCCTCTATTAGCACATTACATAGAGCTGTGCAAAACTACATTTAATAATCTACAATAATGTCACGTTTCTAGCACATAACAAACTTAAAACCAAATCAAAACTTTCGTGCAGTTTTATTTACGACCAATGCAGAGGCGTTCAAAAGCACAGATCACTTCTTCCGCATATCTCAAGCCTGAACCGCGTTTAACGCATGCGCGAAAGACGTCACAACAACACAACGCCAAAGTTCAAAATAAAGGTCCGCCAAAATACATACTTGTATAGACTTCTTATACAAAAGAAGAAGTTTTAATCAAATAACTTAAGAATAATTGATAAAAAATACATTTCATTTTTAATATTCAAGATCCTCTTATTGTTTGCACTACTGACATTTCTCTTGAAATATTACATTACATTTAATCATTTAGCAGATGCTTTTGTACAAAGCTGCTGCTTTACAAATGAGAACAATAGAAGCTATAAAACCAACAATATGCAAGTGTACATATGGATTATGGAAAAAAAAAGTAAATAAATAAAGGTCTGCCAAGGCAGAACACGAGGAACAAACATGTTCTAAATGGACGTAAAATAAATTCAGCTCGCTACAGTTTAAACGGACTGCATTTTTATAGCACTTTCATAGACCTAATGGCCAACAATGCGCTTTACATATTGCCTCACATTCACCCATTCACACACATTCACACACCGACAGCGGTGTCAGCCATGCAAGGCGCCATCCAGCTTGTCGGGAGCATCTGGTTAGGTGTCTTGCTCATGGACACCTCGACACTTGGTCAGATGGAAAAGGGGATTGAACCACCAACCTTCTGGTTTGTATACAACCTACATGAACCACTGAGACTGAGCCACTACCGCCCCAGTTTAAAGTCATGAAATCAAAATTGACAAACTCTTATTTGTTATGGTATATTGCAGTGTTTATTCTAAGTTATCGATAGACATTTTAAATTCATATTTCTTTCAATTAAATGTTTGGTTAAGATGTTCTATTGATCACTAAAAAGTATTATTAATATTTTATTTTTTGTCCCAGGATAAGAGAGTACACAAGAAAGCAGCAAAAGTTTGTTTGCAAAGGAAAAAAATGCATTGTGCAAAATGTGCAAAAGCCGCACAGCAGGATTTACAAGACCAGAATTGGCAAAACAAGCAGTGCCACTTTATGATGGAAATTATCCATTGAGTGAGCTTACCACAGTTGAGCTACTAGTTTTTTTTTTTTTTTTTTTTTTTTTTTTCAGTTGAGCTACTAGTTGAGCTTCTGTTGACATGGGTAGTGAAGTAAAAGGTTATTTGGGAGTTTGACCACTAGAGGGCCTGCTTGTGCAACAGATAGCGAATCTCTCAGAGTTAGCAGTGTTGTTGTTTAGCCCATGTTTGGTATATCTATCTCGTCTGTTCCTGTGTAAACAACTGTTAATAAAGTCACGTCAAATATGCAGTATCTCTCCATTTCCATATTCTGCTGCGTTACAGAATATCACACAATGACGACACTGGTGGTAAAAGGTGAGCCCATTCGACAGTGAGTCACAGCTGGGGAAGGAATACATAGAAATGATGTGAAATGAGTATTTCTTTCAAGCAAATGACATTGAGGCAGCTGAGAAAAAGAAGGCTGTGCTGTTAAGTGGAGTTAGGGCTAACACGTTTAGCTTGTTGAGAATTGTACTGTGCCCCGCAAAGCCAGGAGAGATGAAGCATATGAATTGTTAAATGTCCTCAAAAATAATTTCAATCCTAAACCAAGTGAAATTGTGCAAAGATATAAGTTTAACGCACATACACGGGAAATAGGGAGAAACTGTTGCAGATTATATGGCGTATTGAAGAAGTTAACAAAGCACTGTGAATACGGGGCCATACTTCCACAAATGTCTGTGGAGTGAATGACAACAGTATGCAGAGAAGATTGCTAGCAGAAGTGGATACGTTCGAAAAGGCACTTAACATCTGTCAAGCAATAGAGTCTGCAAACAAAAATGTGAGAGATCCACAAGGATTGTTACTTGGTAACTAAACCCCTGGTCAAAGCCTGGCTCCACCCACTAGCAATATTTGAAAAATGCTGAAAAAGTGGGCAGACCCCAGCAGAGATAGAGGGGACAAAATAGATGCTAAAACACTATCCTGATCGTTTTCAATATTCGCAATTCCAACTCCTGACTCCCTACAGTGGTTTTGATGAAACAAGCTGGTTTTTATACTGCCAAGGGCGTAGCTCGTAGCTCAAGAGCGCGGTGAACTGAAACGTGCGTACATCACGAAGAACCGCTAACATCCAGTAGGAAAATTCAACTGCAGTAGCCACCGTTCAACCTGAAGAAGGCAGCACTAAGACGTTTTTACACCATATAATGTAGAAATAAAACACTATACACAAATGTCAAAAAAGTTACTCGAATCAATGACTGGTATTAATAAAGATCCATTCTTACAGATCATTAACTCAAAAAGCTGGTTCAGGGGTTAGTTAGGGCCAATCCCAATTCTACCCCTTACCCCTTCACTTTCCCCGTCCCCTCCGTTTTGCGCGTCCACGTGAAGGGGTAGGGCTGTCCCAATTCTCTTTTGGTTGGAGGGGAGGGTGAAGGGCCAGATAGCCCTTCAAACGAAGATTTTTCGGGAGCACACTTCAAACGAAGGGGTATGAGAAGTGTCACTGCTAACCCAGGCTGGCTGCCCAAGCGACAAAGGAGACCCATAAATTTAAGTATTTGTGGCTTTAATAAGTATTATAACGACAAATAATGATTTGCTTTATGTTACATTCAATATTGTGTTCATAGTTACGGTCAGTTTCTTCACAGAAACGTTTGTAAAAAAAAAAAAAAAAAAAATCGCTAAAATTACTGTAGTTTGCTAACGATAGTCCCGCAACATATTTTCGTCGTCTCCGTTGTTTCCTGCGAACTCTTTAACCAGGGAGGCAGGACAAAATGCAGACACTCAGGACAGACAGCAATGCATAAAGGGACATAAAGGGAAAGAAAAGGGTGACAAAAAGACGTGTGCTACAGATTTAAAGGTCAACATTTGCCAGAACGAATTTAGGTTTCTGAATGAACTCTGCCATAAACGTGGAAAGCCTGGAGACATAAAACGAGCATGCAGGGCCAAGCAAGTTTCCGTGGGGTGTCAAAAAACAATGTAAAAAGGAGAAAGGTAGGAGAAATAAACTCATTAGAGAGGAGGAAAGTCAAGAACGAGAGGGAGGACACCAGTGATGTTAACACAATATACAGTGTTGTAAAGTGGCTCCTATCACACACTAGGTGGAGGTGAATGGCATGGAAGTGGAGTTTGAAGTTGACACAGGTTGTGGTGTGATGATCATTATGCTCCCCAGATGTAGATCTACATTTTGCTTCGTTTCGCTCGGACATTTGACGGAATCACTCGGACGTTAATGGCGTAGACAAACACGCGGATACACGCAGATAGCTCAAAATGCGTAGAGACAACACGCCACTTGACTCGAAAGTGGCGTGTATGTTTATGCAAAAGTCAGGATGTCATGTTGCCCTGGGAAAGCTGCCATGAAGAAGGATCCAGATTGATTATGTGGGACCATGGCAAGGTGAAATGTTCCTGATATTGGTGGATGCTTACTCTAAATGGATAAAGGCTTACCCATTGAATAGCTCTACATCCATGGTTACCATCCAGTGCCTGAGACAAAGTTTCAGCCAGCATGGGTTGTCAAAAATAGTGGTGTCAGATAATGTTAGTTGTTTAGAACAAGTACGGAGTTTCAAGAATTCATGAACTGTAACTGCATCAAGCACATAACCTCGGCCCCCTTACCATGCAGCTGTCGAATTACACCGCAGTCGACTATTATGGGAAGATCACCCGTGGAGCTGATACCAAACAGAAAGGATACTAAGCATGCTAAAAAGAGACTTTTGAGTGCAGGTCATCATGTGTTTACAAGGAACTTCAGTTCAGGTCCTACCTGGATTCCAGGAAGAGTTCAGGAAATGACTGGGCCTCTGTCTTATAAAGTCATTATTTTGGGAATGGCCAGGTATTGTGCCGAGTTAAAATCTCTCAGAGTTAGCAGTGTTCTGACATTAGACATTTTGCTCTGTCTTGTATGGGTTTAGGAAATGGAATAAAATAAATTCCATTGCCCATCCTTTTCAGGATACCTGGAATCAGTGTTACAAGAACCCCAGGCACATCGTTTTTCCATTTTTCTAGCACAAACACCATAAAACAGATAAGCTTCGGATCTTCCAATATTTTTCTATGTCGCTGAAACCTAAAGATGTTCAACTGCCATTGGCTCATCTGCGATTGAGGGGAGGGGCATAAGGCCACTGCACACTGAGTCCGAAATTTTCGTTTGCGTTTTTTTTTGTATTTGTGATTTAGTGGCTCTGAATTGTCAAAACACCATTCAAACTCCATTCAGATGGCTTGCTACGGATGCGAAAAACGCAGAAAATCGAAACCGATTCGATTTTTTTTATGACGGACGAAAGTTTCGGAGGCAGTGTGCAAGTGTGATTGACATAACGTGAGGCCGTAATTTTTTTTAACGTGCGAAAATTTCGGACGTGAATTTCCGACTCAGTGGGCAAGGGCCTTTACCGAGTTTGGCATGATGAAAGAAGCCAAGGCCTTTTCTTCAGCACTTGTCAAAATTCACCTCATTACTTCACACTGTTACTTGATAGATTAACTCCTCGGTTAACTATAGACACGATATAGTCTGGCAATGAGTAAAGTGCTTCTAGCCAAAATTATCTTGAATTTGGTTACACGTCGTTCTTGCCAAAATAACGTGCGAGATGTATGATATTCCATCAAAGTCAACAGTAAACACAAGGTGTTTGGTTTTATTTCTTCGACATCTAGTTTGTGTAGCCTGTGTGTATATTCTTGGGCTATGGTAAGACATCTATTACATTTTCACTAACAGCCCAAACTCTGCCTTGTTTTAGCCTAGACGTCTGGGCTATGTTTGGATGGCTATTAGACGTATTTTTATTGCAAAATTGCTTGCTGGGTATTAGTATGGTGGTCCCCATTTAAACACAATCCTCTGCTCCAAATATTAGAGTCAAGAAGTCATTGCCGGCCATTAGCCACAACCCTTTACCAATCACTTTTAAAGAGCTTCTCTGGGATCTTTGTGAGAACCA